GCCAGATCCCCACCAAGGGAGGAGGAGAGACAGCCCCCAAGAAGCCCCCCAGCCACCGCCATGCCGGCGCCCCGGGGAGCCGCGGAGGCGAGTCCGCGGGCTCCGCCGGCAGCCGGCCACCCTGAAGTAGGGTCGGGCAAAGAACACCGGCCCCCCCACGGCACCGACCGAAACGCCCCGGCGACCGGCCGCAACACCCAACGCGACCGCACCACCCCCGAAAAACACTCAGGCGGCCGTGCCCACTGCCGGTGCCCACATGCATCCACCGCGAACAGGCCGTGAGCACCGCGGAACCCCCCCAAAATGCCCCCCAGACCAAAAGCGCGGCCCCGCCCCACCAAGACAGACGCCAACAGCGTGCAACGCAACACACCGTGCACAGAACTGACCCAAGAGCAGAAAAGCCACCCGGCGCCTGACCGCCAGAAGAGCAGACCGTAGCCGGCGCCCCCCCCTCCCCCCCCCCCCCACCCCCACCCGCAGCCCGCGGGCAGCACAGAGCCACAGCGGAGCTAACCACGCCTCTCCCCCACCGGACCAAGCCAGAGCAGCACAGCCGCGCCCGCCGCCCCCCCGTGCCGCCCGCACAAGCCCCCAACACGCCGCTGAAGCACCTCCGCCGCGCCGGCCGGAGCCACTCCAACCCCCACCCACCCCGCAGCCACACCCGCCGCGATCAGCGGGACCAAAGCAGCTCCACCATGCCTCCAAGCGGGAAAACCCACCCGAAGACCCAATCAGCGCAGCCAGCCCATCCACACCAGCCCCCCAACACCAACCCCGCCGGAGCCGCCCAGACTCGCACACACCAGCGGCGCACCGCCAGCAGGACCCCCACCCAACGGGGCCGCCCCCCGAGAGAACAGACATGCCAATTCCCCCCCGGAAAAAGAACGCCAAGCAGAAAAGCCCCCCCAATGCGACAGTAGACACCAGACAACGACCTGCCCGCAACCCCCACCAGGAGAAAAAAAAAAATATTTCATTTTCACGCAGACATTTACTGCTAAAACTAGAAAAAGTTGTAACCACAAATTTCAGGTAAATACTGTAAGAAAATAGGTTTTTCTTGAAAGAAAAAAAACTAAAGATGCAAAATTTAACTGGAAAAAAATATTGCGTGTGTGCTTTTTTTATTTGTATTTTTCATTTAGCACAGTTCAAGATATTGATAATTCCATAGATATAATCGCGACCTTTAAGCTATACCGTCTCAGTGACGGAGATGAAAACACAAGGAGAAACAAGCAAGCACGCAAATTATTGCACTTTTTTTAATTAACCAAGTGATTAGAAATTTTTGTGCGATTAATTGATTATTGCGACAGGCCTTCTCAAGACTTGAGACTTGACTTGGACTTGCAAAAAATGACTTGTGAACATGTCTGACCTGAAGTAACCCTTCCCTTTTTACACTGAATTTGCTTGGAGTTGCATGGAAATGGGCTACCATTCAGTAACCTTTTTTATCTTTAAGCACCTTAACATAATTTTTATTGTTTAGTTTAATTTCTGTAGTGGATATCAAAACCTCTTTTCTGTTGATTAAAGACCTCGAGTTACAGTAGGTCATGACCTTTATTCTCTTTAAGCTGCGCGCAAGAAAATCAATGTAGCGCATAAAATAAAATCCGATAAACTGTAAATCAATTAGACCAATATGTTTTTATTCTTTATCTTTTGAAACTTTTGAAGTATTACCAGTCTGCTCTGGGGGCTTGTCTGTTTGCTCAGACACATGAGAAGTCTGAATGAGCTTAGCTAAAAAAGAAATGTTCAGTTCAATATCTCTGTAGAGCAACTTGAGGCCTCGCTGAGGTTTTCTGAGCCCTGAAGGACGGAAACCGGTGAGAAGACGGCGAGCAGCTGGGACTAAAAAATCCTTGAACCACTGGCAGGTGGATTAATTGGTTTACTTTATGTTATTTCACTGGGGATTTCTCAAAACAATTTTCAAATGTCTTGAGAACATTTCTCTGAACTGAGGGGCAAAGCAATCTAGTTGATGGCTAAAAATACATTTGGTTATATAGACCACCGAAGCACAGAGTAATGCAGAGCTGCTCTGACTCTCATCACACTGCTGATAATGCCTGGTAGTTTTTTTTATTCCTTCTTATAATTTGTCGCTTTCACTGTTATTATAAAAGCAATATTATGATCATTAGCCTACTGCAGAGGGGCCCCTTTATACCAGGGCTGTTAAACTGATTTATCATCTGGCATTTTACCAACATTGAAAGGAGGCTTGAGGAGCAAAGGTTCTCATTTACAAGATATACCCCCCTCATACACATGTGCACACATAAACAGCACCGGAGCTCTAGCATCCAGCTAGTCTATTTATCACAGGCGCTTGCTCATGCTGGTGGCCCTGTGCTTTTGGCTCCAGCCGCTACATAAAAACTCTCCCTATTTATGTGATATTATGATTAATATGTGCTTTCGGTTGCGAGGAGCAGCGTCCTGATAGCACTCAAACCTGCTGTTTGAGCACCATCTTAAGTGTTCTTTCTGTGTAGGATCACATTATCCACTTACACTAATAGGAGCTGTCTATAGTTGTGTGAGTTGTGGTGGACCCCAACGTCTGTGTGGTTTCACGTTTTTGTTTTCTTTGTGAGCATACTTTAGGTACATTTTTACTTCTTGCTAATTTAAATGGAGACTTATTCAGTCATTTAAGATATTATTGAAATACTTACACACAGACGAATGTTTTGGCTTAGAAACATGCAAATTGAACCTCACTTGCATGTTTTCTAAGCCAAAACAAGGCTGTGCTTTGTTCCACTCCATACATAATCTTAAAGGAATAGTACACCCAAAACATTCATTTTCTACTCACCCCCATGCTGAACAACACTCTGGAGTACTTTTTTGATATCTCAAATTCATCTGGAGATCTGGGAGGCTTCTTGCTGTCTGCTGACATTCAAATAATGGAGGTCTATGGCGCCCGAGGCAGAAAGGTCCATAAAAGTCCACAAAAAACGTGTCAATATTCCTCCATACTGCTCGTCCAATGTATTCCAAGTGTCCTGAGTGGGTAGCGTCCAGAATTTACTCGAAACGAAGTCATTTAGAATATTTTTAGAGCATAAACAGTAGTGTATAGGATTTCCTAAAAGCGCGTTCACGAGTCTACGGAAAACGCGGCAGACCAAACCAGACGAAAGTGCGCATTCAGCTCGGCAAAGAACTCATGCTCTTCCTCAACACTGAAGTCCTCAGACATTTTTCTTTCGTTGTTTCTTTCTTTGCACAGGTAAACAGCACATTTCTTCTTCTACGCTTGCATTATCGGCAGAGCAGACGCTGAATGCGCACTTTCATCTGGTTTGGTCTGCCGCGGTTTCCGTAGAGTCGTGAACTCGCAGGCGCGCGCTTTTAGGAAATCCTATACACTACTGTTTATGCTCTAAAAACATTCTAAATGACTATTTCTGCCATTTTGAATTGAAAAATCTTCCTGGATGGGAAGAGAAACATCTTCAAACTTGGAAACAAAGTCCAGTGCATTGTTTTTTTGTTTTTTTTGGAATGACTATGACCTGGATGACTGAGAATCTTCACCAGCACATGTCATAAATTCAAATTATTTAAAATGATCTATCTCAGCTGTTAGGTTTATTCAATGATGATTATAAAATTAATGTGTGCTTATGAAACATTTGTGCGAGGGGATGCTCCACTCCTGTGTCATGATTCAGTCAGGAGACCATCCTTCCTTGTCATTCTGATGGAGCATTCTGTCTTTATGAACTGATCAATTGTTCTGTCAGAACAATGCTCTGTTTGTAACCATGTGTCATGTTCTGTTAATAAAATGCTCTGCAGAGGAGGTCCAGTGGGAGACAGTATGTTTGAGTCTGGGGTTCAACTGTCTCTCCTTCTGCATAAATTGTATCCATTACTGTGTATTTCAGTTCTTCTTCTACGTTTATGAACCCGACATCAACAGATCCAGCTGATTACTTCCAGTCCCTGACTTTGCAGATTTCTTTTCTCCCGGATGAGGATGCAGCAACAGCAGACAGTCGCATGCATGAAGTCTTTGACCACAATCCCTTACACCTAACATGCATGAAGCGACAGTAGAGAGGAAACTGTTTTGCTAGGAAGAAACCAGCAGAAGAAGGCTAAGTGTGAGCGGCTTTCTACTGACGCCGGGTTACAGGAGATAGAAGCACACACGTAAATTTAACATAGCAGACCTGATCCATAAAAACGTTCTATGTTAGAAAAGGCAACAGTAACTGTTGCTATTATCTGTTTCTGTTGCTAAATATATGTGTAATAATATATGCAATGTTATTACAGTGTAATAAGTCTATAGTTATGCTGCTATAGGTTTAGACTGCTGGAGGACATAGGGACCCCCATTTCGTCATTATGCTTCATTCTCTCTCTATTCTCCCACTCTGCAGAATCTGTTGCTTCTATTTCTAATGTTCTGCTCTCTGTGCTTTTTCTCATATTAGCTTCATCTGGTTTGTTGCCATCAACAACTTTTGTTTATAGATGTTCGAGATCGGCCTGTTTTTCAGTGTGGTCCTGTTTCTCTGACTGTGACTAACTGGATGTGCTCTCTTCATCCTCTGATGTGGGAGCTGGCTCATCTGCCTGGCTAAGTGTTTCCAGGACGGGGCCACCTTTTAAACTTGCCTTTTGCATCTCTGTTTCTGTCTCCTAGAACCTGTCAGCATTCGCAAATGGCCACTAACACTGAGGTTCTGCTGGAGGTTTTTTCATGTAAAAAGGGAGTTTTTTCTCTCCACTGTCGCTACAAGCATGTTTAGTGTGAGGGCTTGCCTTCGAGTCAATGAGTCGATGCACAGCTGGTTTTCTTTAGATAGAAAACTTTGAATCAATCTGACTGGATGATCTGGTTGAACTGTAAAGTGCCTTGAAATGACGTGTGTTATGAAGTGGCGCTATAGAAATAAACTGAACTGAATTAATATTTTATTTTGTGTGTTTTCTTTCTGTTGCAGGAATCTTCATACTCATTTGCACTGAAATGCCTTATCAGCCTTTCCACTGTTATTTTGCTTGGTCTTATAATAATGTACCACGCCCGGGAAATCCAGGTGAGTCTGTAAATACACCTTCATTTTGTTCCTGAAATTGATTGTAAATATGCTAATGTAGGTGAATACATTTACAGAATAACTAAATAAGAAAAGAAAAGACTAAATGATTTATTTTCCCAATAGAACACTGTTTTATGAATCTTAACTGTTAACCAAAAAACGTGTGAGGCTAATAGACACTGAAAATGCTCTTTGGTGTTCTTTTTTTGATGAATTATGTGTTTCTGATTCATTGGAAATTTGATCAAAATTTAAAATGCCTCTCACTCAATACCTTTTAGGGAAGGCTCTCATGTTCCTTTGGATTAGGCAGGTATGGGGAATGGATGGATGGGGATTTTAAAGCAGTTCTCTGGTTGGCTGCTGACATGTTACACCCTACTTCTACAGTGGCTATGGGGTGCAAATACACTGCAGGTTAAAAAAAAAAGTACTGCAAGAACAAAAAACTAAACTAGAAGAAGGAAAACTAGACCTAAATACAAACCCCTAAAGGAAAAAAAAATTTGCAAAAGAAATTTGCAGCAAAGAAAACCGAGAGAGGCAAAGTGGAAATGCACTGAAAATACAACAATGTGATGCAGTCATTGATTATTCTACCACACAAAACAGATGCAAAGGGAGAATACTGTACGTATTTAAAAACAACTGCAACTTAAAGCTACAGTGTGTAACTTTTAGTGACATCTAGCGTTCAGACTGCAGCAACATGAACATCTCTCTCCCACCGCTTCTCCCCCCCAACAGTACGGCGAGCGTTACGGGACAAAATGTCTTCCACGACGTCCGCATCACCTACCTTCTCAAGTGATTAGGTTTGTTTACATAGATAATTTTACAGATAGTATTTCATTAGTCTGTGTAGGGTATAGATTTCATGTAGACTTAAGATAATAAATATACCCGTTATTTTTTCTACATCGTTGTGACGTTTTGGCGATCTCGCAATCGCTAGTTTGTTGGCTCTGCGCTGCCGTAGCGCAAAGATGTCTGCCTCCATGGCTGCGAGACCCGCTCCTATGTAATTATAAATAACGAATTCTAAAGCAACGCAAATATTAAGGTTAAGAGGCTGAGCTCGTAGATGATGATAAATAACATAGTTATGTATAATATATTACATTTCTGACTGTATATCCCTGTAATTATTACACACTGTAGCTTTAAAGGTATAGAGGACGGTCTTATATTTCCGGCTGGATCATCTAAATAAGTGGTCCTAGTAATTGTCAATCATTCTGTTGATATGTTTACGTAAGGCCGTCCTAAGTGCTCGTCCCCGTTAGCTATCTTTTTCTGCACACTTTCAGGCGTGTATCTGTGGTGAGCTACGGTTTCTGACAGTCATTGAAGCTCACCTTTCTCACGGCTGTTCTTTGAAAATGGCAGAGGGTTGTAAGAGAGAAAAGTGTCTACGATTATATGAGAAGAAAAGAAAAGCCTCAGAAGAGGCAGATATTTCCTAGAATCAGTGGCGGCTGGTGAAAAATATTTTTGGTGGGGCTGATATAGTTTAGTGTATGTCTCCAACTAATCCAGAATAAGAATTCAAATAAACAATTGGACAATAAATACAATTTAACAGTAATGATTTAATTTACTATATAATAACAGTAACAGTGATGATTTTGGTCACAATAACCATGACTTGAAATTTTCATATCCTACAACAGGGATGTTCTTCTGGCAAACGGGTAGATAAATAAGGATCTCACCGAATTTGGTGGAAGCTGCATCTCGCTCGTTACGTTCGCCATCTTCCCTCTAATTGTCTGCACCTGTGCATTGGGTGCAGAAGACTGTTAAAGGGCAGTATTTTCAGAGCCCCAAGACCATAAAATTCTGAGACGCTGATTGGCCATTAAATTATTAAATTGACCTAGCAATAGTACATGATTGGCAGATTCTCTGCACATGTGGGGCAGTCTAATCATAGCCCCAAGACAGAGACGGTAGGAGTCTGTCTGTTGAAATCCACAAATGAATGACAGTAGGTAGGGAAATGTAGTTTATATAATTTGTTTTGCCTATAGGTACACACTCTAAAGCAGGCATCCCCAAAGTCGGTCCTCGAGGGCCGCTGTCCTGCAGGTTTTAGAGCAGAGAAACCTCGAAAACCTGCAGGACAGCGGCCCCCGAAGACCGACTTTGGGGATGCCTGCTCTAGAGAGTAAAACTGACATTTATGAGTTAATTTGTAAAAATATATTTTAAGTTTCTCTCTTCTTATCAGGGAGGGCGGTGCCCCGTGCCCCCTATGGGCCGGCCTCCACTGCCTAGAATGCTTTGCGCTGAGAGCTCTCCTCGCAAAGCATAGTGGGATTTGCTGTTACAGCAGTCCGCTGTCGCTACCCGACAGCGGCTACTAATAACAAAGGTGACGCAGGCACCGCACCGTTTGGCAACCCTAACGGTTACTCGCCCTACGCACTACATAGTTTAGAAAGGCCCTTAAAATGGCTGATGATTTACATTTGGAAATTCAGACACCTACCTATACTTTTTGGGAGAATTATCTTATCCCATATATTCCTTTTTATCAGTATTTGTTATCTGCATTTTGTATTGGCTAATATAATTTCTGTGTATGCAGAACTTTTGTGTTGGCTATATGTTCATGTATTTATTGTGTGTTTGCAACTTTTGGCTACCATGCAACAGCCGTATTTACTGTAAACGTCTGCCACCAGTAAATTATGTAAATTAGATTTAGCTAAAGCCGGGCATACACTCCACAAGTTTTTACCCTTTTTGGGCCGTCAGGATGTGGCCTGATAAGGCCAAGATGAGGCCAAGTTTTAGCCTCATCGTGCGTCCTACACTGTGTAGTATACTGGAGGGTGATTAGCTTCTCGCAAAAACAAACCCCCGATCAGGAATCGCAAGTACCGGAAAAAAATCCAACATGTTTGAGATTTAGTCGGCCCTCCTTCACCGGTAACCTGACTCCGCCGGATGGATTTGCTCCGCATATCCATCTGGAAACCTTCCGTTGAAGTAATTTTGGGAAGGGGTGAAAATACTGGTTAGCTGATTGGCCTATGTTGGTGATAGACGGGCCAAATAAACCAATCAGATCAACGAAGCATATGACGTACTAACAGAGCGACGACGAAGAGGAGGCAATTGATAGATCAAACTCTTGCCGAAACCAGTCGGGAGAAGAGCAAAAACATCTTTTCCTCTGAGAAAAGCCTCCAGAGCAGTGTTTTGCTCTTCTTTCAGTGAAGAAATACTCTGTAATTCCCATAAAACTTGCTCGATAGCCACGCTAACGCTAGTTTCATCGGCTGAAGCCGCCATGTTCTTTAGACTGAACTGTCGCGCTTCTCGTTGCGTCACACCTCAACCCGCCTCAAAGCCAACGCTGATTGGACGTTCGTTTGGTGAACGGCTCCAAATTTTCTTTAACGGAAAGTAGCCAGACTGATCTGCGAGTGAAACCTTGAAAGCTCGCGAGATCAGGATGGTCTCACGAAGCTACTGCACCGTAGGATCGATCTAGAAAGAAGTAAAACTTTCTTAAATTAAGTGTATTAACCCTTAATCTGAGTAGGTAAAAGAGATAGTTTGCCAAAAGAATTTGTATTTTTACTCTTAAATTAAAATAATAGTATAACATGCACATGAAATAAGACAATGCAATTGTGTTTTCTTATTTTAAATGTAAATTGTCTTGTTCCATTGGCAAAATGTGTCTTTTACCTCCTCAATCCAAGAACAAATGCACTTTTTTATGAAAAAAAATTACCTATCTAGGTTTCCATTTTTTTCACTGTGAGGTGTTCGTGGCCAAATCCTGCTGTTGAATTAGAGCTACGAGCCGATTTACCTGAACCTCACACACTCTAAGCATCAGATCAGATCAGAAATACTTTAATAATCCCAGAGGGAAATTACTTTTGTTACACGCTCCAGTTTCAGTTTTATATAATATATACACACATCCAACTATACAATATAATAAAGATTAAAAAAATAAGAATAAAAAGAGATAAAATATATACACATATAGCTCTTCTGTATATATATCTATAGGTATATCTATGCATATGTAAAAACTAAATCCAAATAAAGTGAAAATCCAAGTAAAGTGATAAGTCATAAGCATGTGCAAACAATAGAGTTCTTTTTCTTCTTCTTCCAGATTGACACGTCCGATCAGCACCATCTCTCTGTGCTGAGTCTGACATGTGCTTTTTGGACATACAGGGCGTTTCTCAATATGCGTTCTTGAGCGTTCTCGTGTGCTCGTGTACTCGTGACACGTCATCAGCCTCAGCCCGAGTGCCGTTCCAATTCTCGAGAACGCCAGATCGAGAACGCATCAAATCCCCGGATGTTGTTCTCACCCCGCCCTCTTTATCGAGCATGCATCAGAGCAGACTTGAGCGTTCTTCAGACTGACCGCTTCCCCAGAATGCCCCGCGGCCGCAGCTTGATTCCAGACAGCACTCACAGTGTTAAGTTAAACATTCCCTGTTCTGCTGCTGTTGTTCTTCAAAAGTACGTTTTGAAATCGTTTGAGGCGATAACATTATACATTGAAGCCTCCCTGTGTGGTCTGTTTACAGAGTTAGTGCGAAATAAAAAAAAAAGTCCGACGTTGAGCAGACCAGAGTGACCAGCAGACCTCCGAGGGTAACCGCAGCCAGGGCTAAATTTACCCCGTCTGTAGTGCACTTCTCTCGGTCTAGTTATGTGTGAACTACCGCTCATTCTGATGGCGGTTTTTTGCGGTTCGGTAATTTTTTTTAATGTTTTTTAAGCTTTAGAAATTAAAAATATTGTTTTCAAAATGTTTTGTGTAGGGAATAAATAGTTTTGACTGTTAAAGAAATGCTAAAGAACGTTGCATGTGATGACGTCACGAGTACGCTTCTGTTCCAATACACATACGTGCTCGCGTGCTCGCGTTCTCGTCAAGTCCGATCTTCCTGCGTTCTCGCCAAGAACGGACTTGACGAGAACGTACGTACTCACGTTCTCGTGAATTGAGAAACGCCTACAGTGTGAGCAGACTGTATGTTACACAGCGTCAGCCCCTATAGTTTAAGAACATTCATTGTGAACCAGTGGCTGTTCTTTATCAAATGTACCAGGGGGCCAGGAGGGGGCCAGCGTGTTTTCATAGGGGAACAAAAAAACATGAAATAAAAAACAGGGCAAAGATTCAAATATATTAAGAGAGCTGCATGAAGTGAAATTTCTATTCAATTAGGTTATATTAAAATTCTATTTCTTATTATCCAATCCACTTTATTTATATAGCACGATTTCAATAAACACAAGGTTTCCACAAACCTTGTGCTGCACAAAAAAGATAAAATAAATAAAAGAAATTAAAATAAAATAAAAGCACTGCCCGCACAGGATAAAACTATGCATGTGTATATATAAAATCAACATGTTTATACATAAAATCAACACTCTACATGGTGTCATAAGCCAAAGAAAAGAAAAGGTCAATATACGTTCATAATTTAGGACTTTTTCATATTTTGGACTAAATTTAAGTTAAAATGACCGTTTTCTATAAAATCTGAATTAGAAATCAAGACAAACTGAAAAATTCAGCTGTAAATAGATTAGATTAGATTAGAGCTTTATTGATCTCACAGCGGAGAAATTCACTCGTCACATATTGGCATAGAGGTTACAGAAGGTGCAAACAGGGAGGAAAAAGGTGCATTAAGAATGAGCAATATATATACACTCACCGGCCACTTTATTAGGTACATCTGTCCAACTGCTCGTCAACACTTAATTTCTAAGCAGCCAATCACATGGCGGCAACTCATTGCATTTAGGCATGTAGACATGGTCAAGACAATCTCCTGCAGTTCAAAGCGAGCATCAGTATGGGGAAGAAAGGTGATTTGAGTGACTTTGAACGTGGCATGATTGTTGGTGCCAGAAGGGCTGGTCTGAGTATTTCAGAAACTATTGATCTACTGGGATTTTCACGCGCAACCATCTCTAGGGTTTACAGAGAATGGTCTCAAATGCATCTGGAGATCTGGGAGGCTTCTTGCTGTCTGCTGACATTCAAATAATGGAGGTCTATGGCGCCCGAGGCAGAAAGGTCCATAAAAGTCCACAAAAACGTGTCAATATTCCTCCATACTGCTCGTCCAATGTATTCCAAGTGTACTGAGTGGGTAGCGTCCATAATTTACTCGAAACGAAGTCATTTAGAATGTTTTTAGAGCATAAACAGTAGTGTATAGGATTTCCTGAAAGCGCGTTCACGACGCTACGGAAGCCGGCAGACCAAACCAGATGAAAGTGCGCATTCAGCGTCTGCTCTGCCGATAATGCATGCGTAGAAGAAGAAATGTGCTGTTTACCTGTGCAAAGAAAGAAACAACGAAAGAAAAATGTCTGAGGACTTCAGTGTTGAGGAAGAGCATGAGTTCTTTGCCGAGCTGAATGCGCACTTTCATCTGGTTTGGTCTGCCGCGGTTTCCGTAGACTCGTGAACGCGCAGGCGCGCGCTTTCAGGAAATCCTATACACTACTGTTTATGCTCTAAAAACATTCTAAATGACTTCGTTTCAAGTAAATTATGGACGCTACCCACTCAGGACACTTGGAATACATTGGACGAGCAGTATGGAGGAATATTGACACGTTTTTTGTGGACTTTTATGGACCTTTCTGCCTCGGGCGCCATAGACCTCCATTATTTGAATGTCAGCAGACAGCAAGAAGCCTCCCAGATCTCCAGATGCATTTGAGATATCAAAAAAGTACTCCAGAGTGTTGTTCAGCATGGGGGTGAGTAGAAAATGAAGGCTAATCATGTTTTGGGTGTACTATTCCTTTAACCCTGTGGTTTCGTTGTACAGTTTGAGCTGTAGCTGAGTACAAGTGAAAATACCGTACAGTGTATGTGATGCTTAAACAGATTAATGACGCAGTGACTTTACAGTAAAAAACTCAAAATTTTTCTCTGCACTTTCCTTCCTCCTTGTAGCTTTTCATGGTCGACAATGGCGCGGACGATTGGAGGATAGCCATGACGTATGAACGAATCTTCTTCATCGTGCTGGAGCTTCTGGTGTGTGCCATTCACCCTATCCCAGGCCAGTACGTCTTCACTTGGACGGCGCGGCTGGCCTTCACCTACACGCCGTCCGTGGCAGACGCCGACGTGGACATCATCCTCTCCATTCCCATGTTCCTGAGACTCTACCTGATTGGCAGAGTCATGTTACTCCACAGCAAGCTGTTCACGGATGCTTCATCCCGCAGTATCGGCGCCCTCAACAAAATCAACTTCAACACCCGCTTTGTCATGAAAACCCTCATGACCATCTGTCCGGGAACGGTGTTGCTGGTGTTCAGTATATCCTCCTGGATCATTGCTGCATGGACTGTGCGTGTCTGTGAGAGGTAAACACAGGGCTGTGAATAATAGATGTTCCTCGGCTCAGGCCAGGACACAAAGTGGGTTATAGGCGTTTTTTTTTTTTTTTGTGGATTACTTTTCCTTCCAAGGTTCTTATTCAGCGTTGTCTCGCTTGCATCGCTCACCTGCAGCGGTCCACAGAAATTTGTGAAATCCTCAGCGCAGGTCAAATGGAAACAAAGCTTACATGTTTGCAGGAAGGCATTCAGTGATTCGCCCACATAGGACAGCACTGCTGAAGTGTTTAAAAACACCCTGACATCTGTCTCATTAGCTCAGCACTCGCTCCATAACTTCCCACTCCTTGTTTTAGTTGAATATTGCTATTTTAGATGGCTTGTCCATAATTCATGAGGGGCTAATTGTTTGTTTGCTGAGTGGTTTGTTTTGGTAAAGCAGAGCAGCCCCACGGAACCCCCCCTTCCCCCCCCGAAAACTGAGCATCTTGGTCCGTCTCTGGGGTATGGGGGGGTGGGGGGGAGGTAATTTGAGGGGCACAAGGAATCACACAAGAAAAGATTTGTATTGGAAAATGAGACACTAAAGTCAGCTTTGAGTCTTTTTTGCCACTTTAGTTTGGTGATGTTAAGGAGATCTAATGCACCAAATAATCCCCTTCTGGTACATGTGTGTATTACATCACAGATACGCTGGGAATTTGTCAAGCTCCCGACCACAGATGCTTAGTTTTCTCTAGGGATGCACGATATAATCGGCCCCCTATCGGTATCGGCCTTAAAACTGAATATCGGACATCGGCCACCCCACCGATATTTAACCCGATATTTGATCAGCTTCTGAGTTTCTAAAGTCTTAAAAAAAAAAAAAATACTACTTCTTCTTCTTCCTCAAAAACTTATTTTTTACAAACTTAAAAACTTCTAAAGACGAGGGAAAAAATATTGATACATTAAAATATCCCAATATCTTCATACGCTGATATATTGCCATTTAAAAACACCATATCAATCTCTTTTACTAATGAAATATTGCTATATGTCATCGTTATGCTACGAAATCCCCAGAAAATTCACGAAATTTTTATATGTTGATATATTGACGCAGTATCGATCTATTTTACTAAGAAAACCTCACAAGAATTAGCAAAATATCACGAGAGTTTGTAACAGAACGATGAAATTTCACGAGATTTAGAAAGTAAAATAGATCGATACCGCGTTTTTAAAAATCTATTTGATATCAGCATATGAAAATATATTTGAGTATATTATTTTTCAAAGTGTCAGAAATGGAGAACAAAACTGCTATTTTCAATGACTACTTATTTTTGTCCAGCTTTAACATCGGTATCGATATCGGTTATCGGCTACATGAGTTTTAAAATATCGGCATATCAGATATCGGCCAAAATCCCAATATCGTGCATCCCTAGTTTTCTCCCTTAGCTAACCCTCCCTGCTTTAACTTTTCCAATCCTTCTCTCCTCCACCTCTCCTAACTCAGTCCTTGTTTATCCTGTCACTAACCATTCCTCTTTGTGAGCCTTAACCTTAGCACCTCTAGCTGTTAGCTGGAGGATTTTATCACTGAAACAAATTTTCGCAGTATAACCTTTTTTTTTAAAGAAAAAAAATGAACATAACTCCTTAAGGATTTCTTTTTTTTTTGTTTCTTTTTTCGTCTCTAAACAAATGATGATGTCAGATAAAACCTGAGTAAATTAGGACTATGCTTAGTTTTTTAAGTAGAGAGAAAAATATGTAACCAACCTGGCTCTAATGGAAAAAATTATTTTTCCCTGTTGTCGTTTCTACACTGTAAAAACGATCTAGAAATAAGTACAAATTTCTTAAATTAGGTGTATTTACCCTTAATTTGAGTAGGTAAATGAGATAAATTGCCAATGGAATGAGTATTTTTACTCTTAGAATAAGATAATTAGATAATATGCACTTGAAATAAGACAATGCAATTGTGTTTTCTTATTTTAAGTGTAAATTGTCTTGTTCCATTGGCAAAATGTCTCTTTTACCTCCTCAATTCAGGAACAAATGCACTTATGTTAAGAAAAAATGACTTATCTAGATTTAGATTTTTTGCAGTGTAGAATGATCTTCTTGTGTTGGGTTCAGTTTCACTCTCCACACCCATTTATCCCGGACCTGTAGAGTCTAAAATAGCCTTTCCCACTGCGTTACTCGGGGCTAAAATATGCTTCTGTCTCCTTTAACCCCAGTGGGCCTCAGCAGATGGCCGCTCACACTGAGCCTGGTTCTGCTGGAGGTTTCTTCCTGTTAAAAGGGAGTTTTTCCTCTCCACTGTCGCTACAAACATGCTTAGTGTGAGAGATGATGATTTGATGCAATCAATTGGTTTTCCTTAGATATAAAACTTTGAATCAATCTGACTGGATGATCTGAATTTAATTGTATCTGTAAAGAGCCTTGAGATTACGTAAATTGGCTCTATATAGATAAACGGAATTAAATTGAATTGAATATCTCAAAAAGGTGACATAGTGTATCATGTCCTGATCTAAAGAAATGAAAGTACAGATGAGAACCAATATCGACATTAAAATCTAAGGAGAAGCGTCATCTGCTGGTCAGAACCTGTAATTCAGTGAAAGGGCGGAGTCAGAGTAAACTGCACACCCAGGAGAAGGTCAGTGGTTGGTCAGTGGATGGGATTTCATGTCATGATTTTATCTAAAGCTCGGACCCACATGCAGTGAAACCAAACAGAGAGACACAGATGAAAAGTTTGACGGATTTTATTGAAGATGTTGAGCTCGGTGCAGAGTTTTTCAGCCAGAACTGGAAGATGAGGGGAAGACAGACTGTTAGTTCAGGCTCAGTGGGAAATTTGATTCGTTGATTAGAAGCAGAGGATCTGGTTGTTGACTCACGGTTGTTGAGAAGTGAAGGATCCTTGACTCCAATCTGTGTGTTGTTTTCCAGAGTTTGTCTGACTCGGTGGAGGGCGGAACAGGGTTTACCCAGAACTCTGACTGTGTAGGTGAACGGAGACAATGGTTGCCACTCAGATTTCCTGCTGTACTTGAACGGGTCGTGGTGAAGATGATTCCCTTGCTCAGAGAGTAATTTCAACGTCCTCAAAAAGGAGACTGGATCCAAACCTCCTGTTTGAATCCCCGGCTCAGTTTAAGACTCAGTTGATCCCTCCAGGGAGAGGAGGTCCGAAAAGGTCCAGTTTGCAGGATGACTTCCTGCCGAGAGGCAAAGACAAAAAACAAAGTTAAAACTCAGGAAGACAAGAACTCAGTCTTACTCAGAGAAAACTCAGCTTGGCTAGAGTACCAAAAACTGGCAAACACTCTGGCGTCGAGGTAGTGGAAACCAGCAGCTTAAGAACACTACGTTAATGAGGTAACCGTCAGCAGGTGTGTGAGGAGGTGAACCAGGCGCCTCCTGCTGGTGGAAGGGAGACAAACACAAAAACAAACACACAGACAGGAGCCCTGACATTTCACTGGCAGCTGCAGGGAAGTGGGATGCTATCCAGCTGGCGTTTGACTGGGAAGGGCCATTTTGAATGGCTGCTACTGTAACATGAGTTATTGACGTTAGTATGGGACCAACTCTGATTAGAAGGTTTTACGGGTCAATAGATTTTCCCAATGGTGCCAGGTTGGTTTGGATATCTTTCTCACTTAATAAACCAAAGCTATCATTTGGTAGCTGCTTTTTTAAAACTGGTTTTAATGAAAACTTAGCTTAATTTTGATAAACTAAAATGAACAAACATTTAAGTGCAAATCCTTTTTTCACATACTTCGATAAAGTATTGACACGTTTATTACAATTTATCTTATGCTAATTACAGACTGTACATTTAATCAACTGAGGTTTTTTCAATGGTCCAGAGGTGTCAGATCAAATACTAACATCAGACTACAAATACTAACCCTGCAACACAAATACAAGTCACAATATGAAAACAGAAGCCGCAATAAAAATACAAGCATGTATGTAGTTACCAAGAGCTGGTATGTGATACCAAGAGATTTCAAAAAGAAAAAAAAAAATAGGAGCATTTTGGTATTATAGATATTCACTTTAGAGCTCAGATCAAACCAGTAATTGATCTTTATGTTGTCCAACAGGCTGGATTATGTAGCCACTGTAAGGAGCAGTTAAGACCACCAGCTTTCAATGCTTTGGTTGGATGTTGATGTCCTATAAATGTGGCTTTCAGCTCCTGCAAATGTATCTTTGTGAAATACTTTGACATAACTTCTTCTGACTAGATTTACAAACCTCTTTATCTATCGTCAATAAATGGTTAATAAACAGTACAAAGTTAGTCATGTTTATGACATCACCAACTTTCAGAGGAAAATATATGTTCTAGATTATTTGCAGTTTTTACCAAAATCTTAGGCCCCGTCCACACGAAGTCAAAACGAACACGAAACCCTAATATTTTCCAGAACGTTTGTCGTAAAGACGGAGACATAAAATAAATGTGATCGTCCACACGAATGCATGAAAACGCTGCAAAATGTGTGCCAGGCCTGTAAGTGGCGCTGTGGTGCCAAAGCAAAAATAGGCGACGAAATGTTGGGCATGCGCACTAATATTTATACATGGTTGCCCTGCGGGTCCATTTTCGTGGTTTAGTCAAATTCAGGTGCTGAACTATGTGGTCGATATTGCTCTGTTCTTCCTGGAGATATTCCAGAAGAAGAAGATTCTGTTGTAAGCCCGACAGCAGGGTGAGTAGCATGAGCAGCAACCATTCAACACAGTACGGCGCCATTGTTGTTGTGATACTGTGTCGCGCATGCGTGTTTAGAGGCAACGCTATGACGCATGCGTGTAAGAAAAAAAATGCGGTTAGAGCTTAAAGATGGAAACGCGAAAACTGCGTTTCAAAATCTTCCCACTCTGAAGGCTTAATAAAAAAAAGATCGTTTACAGACCCCCGAAACGCCGGCTTCGAATGGATGAGAGGCTGGTTTGGTGAAAAATGTGTGCGTTTAGGCCAGGGTTTGACTTCT